GGAACAAGTACAGCACTCACGGACAAGAGAGAAACGAACATTGATCTCACAGGCAAAGAGAAACTTGGAGGAGCAATTGTAGAAGTCACAAACAGAGAAGAAAAGATTGGAGATACAGATGCTGAAGTCACAGACAAAAAGGAGGAGGAAAGAAAAGCAAAAGTAGAACACACTCGTAAAGAGGAGGTGAAAGCTGGGGGAACAAGTGAAGAATTGTCAGATAGAGAGGGCAGGGGCGGAGAAATTAAGAATGTAGATTTTACTGACAGAGACGAGCAAACCGAAGAATTGAGTGTTGAGCTCTCGGGCAGAGATAAAGCACGGTGCGAGAAGGAGGCAGAGAGCGAGGTGAACACGGAGGAGCGTGTGGTCAAGCATGTGGTGGACAAGATAGCACGAGGGCCGCGAGGGGTCAGCTGTAGCAGTGGTCAGTCCGACACGCTATTGGCCGGCACCGGGACCCGGGACAGCGGCACCGGCTCCCAGGTTGAGGACCAGACGGACACCTGTGATCCAATTTCTGAAATCGAGAACGAGGTCAAGTCTCTGAGGCTGGATCAAGATGGCCGCGGCGCAGAGTTACGAGAGATGGAGACGAAGCAGCAGCTGTCTGGCTTTGCGGCTCGGCACTCGAAAAGGTCCGGTGAACTTTTGTCCGCTGGTTCTTCTAGCAGAGATCAGTGGATGATGTCCGATGATGACGAATTCTTTTCCGGAAAATCGGCGGACGAGATGGGCAATTTGAAAACAAACGAGGGTAGTCTGACGGAGGAGCTGTTCACCAACACTAGCACAGACGTCTGTGGCCGGCACGTGACCTCTGACCCCGGGCTGGACGAGACTTGTGTCTGGGGCTCCAACGGTCAGACGGTATCACGGGATACAACCCCAAGCCATGACGCTACCAGCCCGACCATTCGAGGTATGGAGACGGGAGGAGACAGACGAGGCGCCAGTGTGGGGTCTGCGCGGAGAGATATGGAGGAAAGAAAAGGTCTTTGTTTTGTCAACCAAAAAGATTGTGAAAAACCCGATCCCGGCTGTGACTACTGCAAAGAGTGTGAAGTGTCCGAGCCAGAAACATCGGACAAGATCCCACCTGTCTGTGTCAAACTTGGATCGCAGGAACCGGCTGATCAGACCGAGCCCACCTGCGTCAAACACACAGAGAAAAAGTCAATTGATGAAACCGTGTCCGATTCTGTCGGTCAAACAAGATCGGAACCGTCTGGTCAGAGTCAGACTAAAGCTGTCCACGATGAAGATACTCAACAAAGACGTTTAACCGATGCCGGCACTGACTCTATAATTCAGAAAGAGAAAGAAACTTGTTATCAGGCCTGTCTTGTCTCCGGAGAGAAAACTCATTGTCAAGATTCATTCCCCGAGCGTTCAAAGCAAGTGTCTTATGGACAGAGAACACTCGCTTCTGCTCAACACGCATCGCGAAACCCATCCGATAGAAACACGCCTCCTTTATCCATCTGTCGTGCGGGACCTGACTCCGGGAACACGCCCACTGTGGCATTCCCGTCTGCTGACAGCGTGGGAAAACTTCCGGAACCAATCGTCAGTCTCGAGAACCCCGGCACAGAACTGGTCGACAAGGTTGTTTTGAATGTCACAGACGAAGGCGCCGTGGACGACAGGCTCGTAGTGGGGACAAGGTCGATGAGCCCAGCAGAAGTGAAAGTTTGTGAGGGAGATGTTGGGGACTCGCCGCAGGGGAAAGTCGCCAAAAAGATGTTTGCTGAAGTTTGTGATCAAAACATGTTCTCCGAGGGAGACGCGTACAGCAACTCGGAGTCTCTGGTGGAAGAAATTTGGGGAGGGAAAAAAGGGAAGAAGCGGTTATCACTCTACGACGAGAACGAACTTTCCACGGAGTGTGTTGATGAAAACAGCGATATGTTGCTGGCTAGGAATGAGGCAGATCGGTACACCAAGTCTAGCGAGTCAAGTGTTGTCCACGTCGCTCCCGAGCCCGAGGGTGTTGTGGAAAACGTCATGTCCGTGGTGCATGCGTACGTAAGAAAGCTGGAGAAGATCGAGTCTCTGGCGGAGAGTGTCCGGAAGAAGCAGGCGTGGAAACGAGCCTACGTGAACCAGCTGGCAGAGCTGGGGCTGAGCGGGGGTACAGAATCTGGCTGTGGCAACATCTTCGGTTCTCTCAAACACTGGGCCGTGTTCGTGGAGGAGGAAGGCTCCCAGGCGGGGTCGGTCAATGTAACGTCTCAGGGGAGCACGGGGGATTTATTTGGCGCGCGGTGTGGCCCAGGGGATGTCGGTGAACGCGACGTCTCTGCGACAGTTGATGGCGTGGACCAGGAGTTGAGAGATTGCGAGCCAGGAGCAGCCAGGAAGATCGTGAAGTCTTCTCTGTCGGGGTTGAGTCGTCCAGGACTTCAAAACAACGCAGTCGCCCGTAGTGGGATGAACGAACGTGCGTGCAACTATAGAAACAGCAACTACGGCAACAACAGCAGAAGCAATAACAATAATTACAACAATTACAACAATAACAATAGCAATAACAACATCAACATCATCAACCTCAACAACAGCAAGAACAACGCCGAGCCGGGGGTACAAAACTTCAACAACAACGGCCTCGGGCACAGCAAAGACCCGGTCACAGACAGCGTGTCCCCGCAAAGATCCCCGCGCGTCGAGCTACAGTCCCCGAGAGCTTACGGAGGTCGCCGGAGATGCCCGAAGCGGGCCATGTCGCCGCGAGGCAGGAGCCCGCCTGGTAACAGATCATACATGGCTCGGCTCAATCTACAGTGGCCTAAGAGTCCCGTGCAGCAGAGGGTTGCTCGTTGCCAGAAGAACAAGTCGGCGTATCAGGCCATCGGCAGATCTCTCGGGAGAGCAGCGGAGAAAGACGCAGAGGTTCAAGAGAAGAGTGAAGCTCATCAGGAGAACAACCAGCCTGCTGTAGAGGAGATGCTATGTGAAGGTGGGAGCTGCGATAGACGGATGACATTCGAAAGCTTGCGGACAACGCGTGCTGGTGAGCAGCCTACGTTTCAGAGAGGAAAGCACGCTCACGGTGGGGATTTTTGTCGTCCGAAATATCGGGCTCAAAGTGAGGAATCTTCCGAAAGTTCCTTCGCACCGGACGATCGTCGCGCTAAAGGTGACCACCAGGCGGAATCAAAAGCTGCACCCGCCGGTGCTCATAATCAGGGGACTGGCCTGCCGCCTGAAATGCCAACGTCGCCTCTAAAAACACCGATGGCCCCTTCCGATAAGCCTGATATGTTTTATAAAGCCATGACTACCGACCAAAGTTGGCCTGATGCCTCGTCTTGGAGAGAGAGCTATAATACATGTATGGCAAAAAATCGCCGGCGAGCGAGCTTGCCTCTGTCTAGAAGCCCCAAGAGCTCTGCTGCTGCTGCTGCTTCTGTGACCAAAGAGACTGGTGATGCAGTCGCAGAAGGCAAGAACTCAGAACGTGTGTCGTCTGCCGGCACCGCGCATGTGGCGCCTAGACTTCGGGTCGATGAGATCGCAAAACTCATCCGACTTCCGGAACTCCCACCTGGCATCGTGGACTACAAGTCCAAAACAACAAAGGACGCGGAGACGTTAACGGGAGGGGCCAGTCTGAAGAAGTTCCGCGCCGTCAACAAATTGCGAGTCCCCAGGAAACGGGATTTCCCGATGCAAGTTTACGTGCACCCGGAAGTGGACGCGGAGTCCAGATACCCTCCTGAAGTCACCAAATGTCTGTCTGTGGAAAGTCCCGCCCAGAACACGCTGGTGCACACCACTTACCAACGCGCCAACCCCAACATCCCACAGCCGCGGGTACCCTATCAGGTCGTGAGCAAGAACAAGAGAATATATTTAGACAAGAGTGACGCCATGAATAAGGAGGGCACCCGTCGGCTCATCTGCGAGAGCGAGTGTTTTGCCAGTCACAAGAGCGGCTCCAAAAACCTGGTGCTGGAGAACGGGCCTCTGAAAGTGACGACGGCGAAAATCAAGGGCGGTAACTCTGCGCGGAGCGAGGAGGCCGGGGCGAAGAAGAGCGCGCTGTACCAGGCGGCGGGCGTTGAGCTAGAAAGCCGGACAGAATCTCCTGGGGCGAGGGGTGTGTCCCCCTCCCCGCCGTCCCCGCCCCCTGAGTGGCTGAGGAGAGACGATGTGCACGTGGTGGGCACCAAGGTGGTCATCGGGGGCCGGCCCAGGGCCAAGGTGAAGGTCGTGGATGTGCGCTGCCAGCTGAAGAACCAGAACGGCGAGAGGGTGCTGATCATGAACAAGTCGCCCCGGACGGACACGAGCCACTCCAACACGGAAAGCAGCTATAGCAGCAGCGACAACAGCAAGAAAAAGAACATCAACAATAACAGCAACATCATCGTCAACAACAATAGCAGCAACAACAGCAACAACAACATCATCATCAACAACAACAATAACAACAGCAGCATCATCAACAACAACAATCACAAAAACAATAACAACAACAACAACAATAACAACAACAACAACAATAACAACAACAAGAATATCAACATCATTATCAATAATAACAACTACAACAACAACAATACCTATAACAATTTCGTGGGGCTACGAGGTCCAAATGTTTTCACTACCTGCCATGTTCACCCATCCACTGGCAGTGTGCGGAGCGCCTCAAGAACTCACCAGTTTGTCGGAACCATCAACGAGAAGAGGGAACGTTTGAGCCGTCGTGGGGGCTACACGTCACACGGTCGTCTACGAAACGGCGCGACTTGGGAATGCGGAGGTGATTGTGGGGGGGAATGTGGAGGTGATTGTGGTGGGGAGTGTGGTGGTGGTTGTGGTGGGGGATGTGGTGGTGATTGTGGTGGTGATTGTGATGGTGATTGTGATGGGGAATGTGAAGGTGATTGTGGTGGGGAGTGTGGTGGTGATTGTGGAGGGGATTGTGGTGGTGATTGTGGTGGTGATTGTGAAGGGGATTGTGGAGGTGATTGTGGTGGTGATTATGGTGGGGAGTGTGGTGGCGATTGTGGTGGTGATTGTGGTGGGGAATGTGGAGGGGATTGTATACTAAAAGAAGCGCTGTCCCACAGAAGGGGAGGCAGAGCAGAAGATGAGGTAGGCCATAACTTTGAGGAATATCCCCGAGGTTTACTACCTATGGCAATGGCTGATAATATTCTGGGGAACAGCCGCAACAAGAGGTGTCTGAGTCAGACGTTCTCATCCTTGAAGAATGGAGATTTTAAGTACAAAAGCAGTCCCTGGGAAGGTTTATGTTATTATTGTATGGATTGCCTTTCCAGAGAGATGCCTTGTGGACATTTCTTCTGTAGTAAAGAACGCCTGTTTCGAGAGAGTCCTTTCATAGATTTAGTTTATGAAGAAAGTTCTCGTACAGAATGTTCTAGTAGAGATTTGTTGAATGGAGAATGTCTTCACGACGCGAGGCGCAGTGGGGAGCGTATCTGCGTAGAGTGCCAGAATGAATCTGTTCGAGTCCTGGTTGAGTGGCACAGCGGTGAGCGTATCTGCCGAGAGTGTAAGGCTGAAACAGTTCGAATCCAGGACGAGAACAACAGCAGCAGCCCGGCTGACAACCTGAGATCGGAGGTGGAGGATTCGAACCCGCGCGGCGTGGAGCAGATCTCTCCGCGGGAGGGCCCAAGCTGTTCCGTGGGGGAGGACGGGAGGAGGGCCACCACAAAGCCGAGCTCCCGGCGAGCTTTCCAGCCGTGGCGCCATCTGCCGGCGGGCCGGGGCCGGGGCCGGGGGGAAGAGAAGCAGGCGAGAGGTCAGTGTGGTGAGTCCGGCCACTCGTCGCTGTGTCATTACGTCGACGACGGCGAGGGAAAACTTGTCAGGGATTTCCGCACGCAGGTCACGGCCACGGACATCAAGCCTAGCAGAGAGGCGCAGACTGGGTCCTCCTTGAGGTTGGAAAAAAGAGGAGAGTCAGAGGTGCTGCCTGGTGTTCTAAACGACCCCAGTACAGATTGTCTTCTTTTAACGTCCTCTGACCTACTTAAAAATATGGATGCGGAAAATGCACATCTGACGTCTCATGACATTCTGAAGAACATGAGTACCAAATGTGTACCACGATTGTGTCCTAGGATGTGGAAGGAGAAGGAGGAGCGAGCTGAGAGCCATCGGCACGGCAGTAAAAATATGCCAAAAATCGAGAAAGTCAAGGCGAGGCACACCAAGACGGTGGCAGATTTCCCCCCTCGAGTTGTCGCCCCGGACATCTGTGTCAGAGCCTCCGCTCAGACCGAGGCGTCTCCGAGGGCTGAGGGAAGTGCGGCTTTGTCTGGGCCAGCGTCGGCTGGTGGCGTCCACGGAAGTGAGTCGTCACAGCCTGACGCGCGTGTTCCCTGCCAAACCCCTTCTTGTGTGGCACGTGGGTCCGCGGGGGAAGGTAATCATTGTCTTCACAGTCCAGTGAGAGCGACGGACATTCAGGATTCTGGTCGTGCACAGACTTGTCCTTCACTTGTGTCGACAGTTGATCCGTTTGTGCCCGGGGAAAGAGCGAGAAGAAAGATGGATGTGCACAGAGGCAGCCGGTCCGAAACATGGGAAGATCTAGAGTTCCGCTCTGATGACGAGCAGAGAGCTAAACGTTCGTCTCCGGACAAGCAAAAGATTCAAAATCCCTCTCCCGATAAACTGAAAGCTGAGAGTCCACTTTCTGACAACCGGAAGGTTGGCTGTTTGCCTCCTCCTAGTCCCAGCAAGCAGACACCTGACAAAGAGTCCAGTCCAGTTCTTTGCCGAGTGGATAATTGCCCCGCTAGTGTCATACAGACGGAGCTTTCCGTCGCTGAGGAACTCCTCTCTATCGGAGGGCCAGGGGTCGTTGACCGTGCTGCAGAAGACGGCTTGGGTCGTGGGGCGTTGTTTCTAGCTCAGACAGGGGCACGTTATAACTCGAGCCACGCAGGCACGCAAGTTGTTGTCTTAGACCTAGGCACGTGCGCCCATACGCAGACGGAAGAGTGCTCTTATCTTACGTTGAGTCCCGATACGATTAAGCCAAAGTTGCTCGAGAGCGTGGGACACGTCAGCACGCAAGTGCTCGCCTTAAACTTAGGCACGTGCACCCATACGCAGACCGCTGAGTCCGCTCAAGGTTCTCATACAAAACTGAATCTCGATGCGAATGAGCAAAAGTTGTACGAGAGAGTCTTCCCCCACACTGAAGTGACTTCAGTGACCCTCAACAAACGGTCCGATCCACAGGCCTTGGCAGCAAGTCCGAGAAAGGTGAACCATTCTTACGTCACGCAGATGGGCTGGCCGGGAGTCGCCATCTTAGACAACTTTTCCCGCTCTCGTCTCCATTTCGTTAATCCGGAGAGCCAGCAGTCGGCGCGAGCGGCAGGTGTGGTAGACATTTTCCCGAAGAAGCAACAGCAGAGGTTGGACGACCTCACCGCCCCCCTGGCTGACCTCAACAACTACCGTCAAAGTCAAAGTCGTGTCGAGTTTTTGCCCGCAGCAAAAGTCTCTGTGAATCGAGTTTGCCAGCGAGAAAAAGTAGCCGACAATTCAGACGGCGCTGGAGGACGTATGAAGATCATGATTTGTGCTCAGAAAGAGATTGCTTGCGATGAAGAGGATAATAGTAACAAAGGAGACGAAAAGGAAGAAGAAGAAGAGGAAAAGGAGGGTCAGGCGCACGGAAGAGAGAGGTGGGATGAAAAGGAAGAACATTCTGAGGTACAACCAGAGGAACTCACGTTGCTCTTGCGGGATAGGTAAAAGTCTGTGTTTTGTATTTGCTGCCCCAGAACAACACAATTCTAGCTGCCCAGTACCTAGTTTCGAGGCATTTCATGTTAAAACATTTGAGGTTCACAACGTGTCTAGCTTTTCCGAATGCAGTTCTTTGAATATCTTGATAACGACTCTTACAATTTTGATAGAGAAAATAGAGCGCTTGATTTCTGATCTCATGGTCTTCGTAACTCAAGACGGCCAAAAATGTCGGTTCTTGTCCGGAACTTCGTAATTCTGAGTTAGTGTATTGACATATTGACCACTTAAGCTGTGCCCATTCGACTTAATAGCTCAATATTCACCAGGTGCCTGAAAAGAGGGTAAGGTGGGGCAGAGGAGGGGGGGGGGGGGGTTACAGCGATTTACCACCCGCCGCACTTTTATCCTATTAAACTTAAAAATAGGCATCGTCTTCATCTCCCGTCCTTCTTTTCCTTGTACGTTATTCGTTCACGCCTCTTCGGCACCTTTATGACGCCTTATTTGTGTTGCAAGTCGCATTAACCAAAAACAAAGGATATTTCAACCTGTACCATTTTGTCAGGTTCAGCGATAGCCTTCAAGACGTGGGCACTGCTGGTGTGACCCAGATGTCGAAGGGCACAGAGAGGGGCGGCACGGGGGGAGGGAACCCCGGAAACCTTGGCAGACGACAGCACGTGCCGTACAGGCGGAAGCGGATACGGAACTGTGGCCCCAGTGTGTCCACCCAGACCCAAGGGACCGCCGGAAGTGCGTCATCACGGGAAGACACGCCGCCTGGACATTGATACAGTGCCACGTCATGATGTGTTATATCTGGGATGCGTGGATGTGCGCGGGCGTTTGTGTGTGTGTGTGTGTGTGTGCGTGTGTGTGTGTGTGTGTGTGTGTGTGTGTGTGTGTGTGTGTGTGTGTGTGTGTGTGTGTGTGTGTGTTAGGATGGGGGGTCTGTATTTACCGTGAGGCGTGTTAACAAAATGAGTTACTACTCGCAATCCGCTAAAGGAGATACATGATGTATGTATCGGCCAAAAATCAACTCAGTGGTCAATCAAATGGGAAGATTTTTCAACCTGTCCCCGTCGTCTTATGCAAGAAAAATTATGAAATTATGCAAGAAAAATTATGGAATTATGCAAACTGAGCTAAAAAAATGTGAAATTATGCGATTCCGTTAACTTTAACAAAGAATGATAAAGGAAAATAATCAGAAATTATGCAAAAAATGATCAAATTTTGCAAAAGTATGCGGGATGCATAAAACCACGGGGACAGTTCAACTGTGATGCCGTTTTCTTCAAGTTTAACCTGTCATTTATCACTTCATAGATCTACTCATCAATTGTACAAATTGATTCTACAACTCTGACGTATCAATCTAGGTCAATAAGGCTAAAATCCGATAAGTACCTCGTTTTGTCAGCAAATCCTGGATTTGTTTTGTTGAGGGATGGGGTCTGCCTGCAACAACATTAACTGCAACTATCACTAGATCTAATACAATTTACTATTGCTGCTGTAAAATGATCATAGACAGAGGGAAAGAAAAACACTGAGAGAGAGAGAGAGAGAGAGAGAGAGAGAGAGAGAGAGAAAGAGGGAGAGAGAAAGAGAGAGAGAGAGAGAGAGAGAGAAAAGGGGGGAGGGGTGAGAAAGAGGGTTTAATTTTAGTAAGAGTAATGAGTAATTAGGTCATATTAGTGCCACAGCCTAGAGGTATTACAAGAGAGTACATGCGTGACATACATGTATAGCCTATATAATGCAGAAGATTACTCTTTATCATACAGGATATGGGAGTCACTGAGTACTTTGCGCTTGTAACGGGCTGAAACTTTTGTTACAAATTAAAAGAACCATTCACCAATATTTTTTTGGCTCGACATAACCTTTTTTTAAACGTGATTTGTCTCTACTGTCTTTCACTTTCCACTTGAGTTTATTTAGAATTGTTCCAAAAAAATTTTTCGAAAGCAAAAGATTCGAATTTTCTACATGTATCATTCTTCATTTCCTTGCGATCTGTATTTCTTATCCAAATGCATTGACAAGGCTACTTGTTGGCGTTAAGCTTTGGTGAATTGATCGCTTATGTCCCCGATTGCAGGTCTATTGATAAACTACATACAATATCAATTGTATTATTGTTTAGTATCCTTTGTATGCATATTCAATTCTGATCCAAGTGAGAAGAAAAAAGAAATGAAAAAAGAGGAAAATTAAATCCTTGAAAAAAAAGTAAACTTACCACCCGCTGAACGGGGTTGTGGTGTGGAGAGTAAGACCTGCCTTTAAACTTTGAATAAGATGCAGTGATTTTACGTCCCTATTGACATAATTTAGATAATTTAGGAGGTGGGCTTGGACCCCAGCAGAAAGGTGGGGAAACTTGATAAAAATTCGTCTCACACAGGAATCGAGCTCAGGTGTTCTGCGTGGGACTGCCAAGTGCCTAACCGCTACACCTCAAACGCCGGTTTCTCAAACTCATGTGTTCTGCGTGGGACGGCCAAGTGCCTAACCGCTACACCACAAACTTTATTTGCACATCCTGGGAA